GAGAGAGAGAGAGAGAGAGAGAGAGAGAGAGAGAGAGAGAGAGAGAGAGAGAGAGAGAGAGGTTGAGTCAAGGTTAGGGAAGTGAGCGCATACCTGTTGGCGGTGAAGAAGGGGGAATCGCAGCCATAGCCGCCGTACTTGAGCACAATCTTTGTATAATATTTTGATGTCTTAAAGTGCTCTCTGATTCAGGGAACTATCTTTGGGCAATCTCGTGACCTTGTGACTCTTGTGAGCCTTCTATGAATGTTCGGTTATGTGTGAGCACGAATTAAGCTCGAATTGGATCAGGACTCATTGCACTGGTGTTGGAGAGAACTCCCGTTACATGCTGAAAGTTTGGACCGCTGGCAACACATAATGCCGGAGGGAGGTGTTGACGGGTTGACTGGGAGGGGAGGCCAGTAGGAGAAAGGGCGCACGAAGGAGAGGAGAAACACCGAAGTGAATTGCCCCTTTCCCTTGGCCCTTGTCAATTTTGCAAGTTGTTTTTTTTTCTGGATTTCCGTCGGTGCTTACCTGGATGTGCACTGCTGCTGGTCGAAGAATTATTGTTAATTTCACAATCAGTCGCAATTTGTGTTGATGTCATCTTGAGCCTGCCGATTGTCTGTCTTGAGCCTCTAGAGTCCACGGTTGTCTGGTTGACTCGATAGCTTGACCACGATCTCGTTAAGTAAGGGGTGTGGGCATGAGTGGTGAGCGCACCTTAAACAACCCATATCGCCCAATGACCGATACTGACCAGCTTTCAACTGAACCGTGTGAATGCAGTGAGGGGTCGGTCTAGGTTAGGTAGAGACTCAACAGCTGGACTGGACCACACAAAGTAGGAAGCACGGGCATGAGCGGTAAGCACTTGTAAAATAACCCGGCTAGCCCAATGACAGGTACTGACCGGCGTGCGATTGGGCCATGTTACGCAATGCACCGAACCCCGTCGGCCTCCCGCGTTACCCGGCACGTCATGGCAAAATAGCTGGGATAGGTATTGGTGGTTTAAGTCCTAGCTCTATGCCAAGTCTCGGGAACCCGGTCAAACTTCGGAAGCATTTAGCAAGTATGCCCTGGAACAGACCGACCATTTTTCACTTCTATAAGGATCAGGAGAAGGGAAAGAGGTGGAAGGGAAAAACAATGTACAGTAACGTCCAAGGAAAGGATAGTCTTTTAGCTACCTTTGAGGAAGGGGGAGTTGAAGAGCTATCCTATGAGCAGATAGACTATGGTTTGCATAGAGATGACGGCCAAGTAGTCCAGGGAGGGCATTATGCAGTTGTGGTAGCCTGCGGGGGAGGGTGTGGAGGCGGCCGAGGTCGAGGAGACCATGGGAGAGGAGGGCGAAGACAGGCTGCCCAAGGGATTGGAAGCAACGAGGGCTTCCAAGAGGGAGGTAGTGGTTATGGTTCACCGCAAGGCGGCCGTGGCAGTTCCTCCTCTCAAGGTGGAAGAGGGGGCAATTTTGCCCTTGACAATGCAACAATAGTGGATACAAGGGTCTGTGTCGATATACTCCTATGCTAGGGTCTGAGGAAGGGGAGCCCTGGAAGGGGATGAAGATGCCAAAATCTTTGTGGAGGAAACAAAGGGAGGAAGGGGCTTGTTTTAAGTACGAAATGAGGGTGAAGTCAAAATGGCGGCTCATTTTAGCAGATGTAGAAGTCAGTAAAACCCGTGTAGGCGCGTTAGTGGACAACGGGTCCATGTGTAACCACATTAGTACGAATAGTCTGAAAAAGTTGCATCTCCAAGGGAAGGTTTGGAAGTTAGATGAGTTGGTGGTAACTAGTTAGTAAGTTGCCAGATAACAGGGAGATGAGAGTAGAAGAGTATGTTGAGGGGGTGACTTCCGGTTGGAGGGGGGGAAGAGTGTCGAGGGAGTACTGCATTCCCTCATGCCTTTCTCACATGGACATACCACCACCAATACTTCAGAAAATGACAGATACATAAACAATTATTTCATGTATGCATCCCCCTCGCAGTCAGGGTTAGGGTTGTGATGAACAATCGAGAATTCAATCCACGTTAAACACCCAGTCTGTGAGCAAGCGGCGCTGGTTAACACACCAGCCATTTTTTGTTTGGATGTATGGGCCTGCATACACCCAGTTAAATTCGGTCATGATAAAAAAAAACTCAGAGAGAATAGTGCCTTATCCGGGGAGAGAGATAGCTTCTCTTGATCTTCTTGGCACTTTAATGACCTGCAAAATTTCAGATTGAGAACTCCACTGTTTTTCTTAGTTTTGCCGCTGGAATGAGTGTCTTGCTGAGATTCCCGCTTTCTGCCAAGATTTCCAAGTCTGTGTGTGTGCATGCTTGCTGGTTTCTGCGTACGTCTGAGTGCTTGTGTGTGTGTGACCTTCCTGGGTACTTGTATGCTTGGAACACCTGCGAGGCTGATGTGGTTGTGACATTGTGGGTAGCAGGGGGGAAAACACTCAAGTAGCCGAGGGGTAGCTGAGGGGTAGCTGAGGGGTAGCTGAGGGGTAGCTGAGGGGTAGCTGAGGGCACACTCAAGTAGTAGTAGGTAGCCCCGGTAGCACTCAAGTAGCAGTAGGCCGAGCAGAAGAAGGCAAAAGTCGGTACCTTCAGAAACGGAGAAGCTACCAGTTGCGTGGGAGGCCGAGGGACCAGGCAGTCACCCCCCAAGGGAGAGTCCAGCCAGTATATCTGGGTGGAGTACTCATTGCTCCGTCCTGTGCTGCTGCGTAGTCAGGCGTTCGGCTGCTGGAGCGCTGGGTGGAAGAGCACTAGTGTCTTCAGCGCTAGTAGGAGGAAGGAGGCCGGAAGCTTTCACCTTGGCTATGGTGGAGCATCGCCGGCAGGAGGAGGAGGAAGAAGGAGACTATGGGGAAGAATGACCGGGGTACTTACCTGGCTATCGAGGTCGGCATCTTCATCTTCTCGTAGGCGCTACATCAGGAAGACCCCAGATAGGGGAGCGCTGCACCAAGGTTACTCCAAGCGTAGAGTGGGGCATGACAGCCATGATAGGAGAGTCTCATAAGCCTTGCATTGTCCTTTGAACATCCAGACTGGTGTCCGGTTGTCCGCCATAGCCATCCACCTCAATTAGGTGGAAGAAGATGGAGACCATGGCTATGGTGGACCTCATCCGCTGCCAGCAGTAAGGGGGAGACTTGGACATTAGTTCTGACTCATTCATTGATTGTAATTATTATTATTTTGGAATAAGAAGCTGTTGGTGGAGAGAAAGGAGGTTGGAGATAATGGCGAGAGATGGGGGAGTTGTCATTTGCTATTACTGGTGTACTTCTTCTTCTTCTTCTTCTTCTTCTTCTTCTTCTGTATTCTTTACTCTTCTTCTTTCCCTTGTCTAATTCTCTCTCCTACTTCCTTCTTTTCATTTGCAATTGGGTGGCTTTGTCTTTCAGCAAGTTGGCGTTGTCTTTCCGTTGAGCATTCACAATGTGAAATTGGGCCCAATGTCATCACAGCACTGACTTTGTGAAGCGAGCACCAGTGTGCATTCGAGAGGTGTTGAAAATGAGACGGCTTCACCTGCCGTAGTTGATCTGAGGATGGTGACTTGCTGACGTGGTGAGTGGAAGGAGAGGAGCCCGAACTTTGAAGAGGGAGAAGCGATGCAAGACTTTGTACAGAGTCATCACTTGGGTCTCCCTCCACGGTTACTAATCTCCACTCTCGAAAATTCAAGAGTGGGCCATCGGTCGGCGTACTCTCCAATTCAGGGGTTGAGAAACGCTTGCAGAGCCATCAGAACACGACCTTGAAAGGCACTCTCCACGCTTGGAGGGTTCCTCGCCTGCAAAGGTGGTTGTTTAGAGAGTCCTCGGCCGAGAGGTCGGTGACTACGGCAGAGTGCCCGAAAATGGAGAGTCCACCTCGAGTCTGGGTGGACAAACCTGGACTTCCAGATGTCTTTCTTTTTATTTTATTTTAAATATTTGATTATTTAATATTTTTTGAATTCTCCCCCCCCCCCCCCCCCCCCCCATTTTGAGCTCTGCAAGTTCTCAACTTCTCACCACCAGTTTGGAGAGTCCTTCCACAGAGAGTGAATAGAGGGGTGGGCCCAGGTGACAGGTTTTTCGCGTATTTGGAGGGGAAGAAAAAAAGAGAGAGAGAGAGCTTGGCAGCCCTTCAAGGCCAGAGTGGAGAGTAGTAGAGCACGGCCCATTATCTCGAGTTTTTCTTCATCCCCCAATCCTCATCACAAGCGGGCATCGATTGGCATGCCAGAAAAAGCCTGTAATGGTTACACTCTCTCCTATACAGAACGCAACAGGAACAAAACTGTTACACTCTCTACCGCACAGGAACACAACAGCGACAACGATAATACCGAAAGCTGCCCTTTGAGACTTTTAGTCTCAGCAAGGGGATGTGCCCTTCAGCAATGCTCTGCCTGTCCCAGGGTCAGAATAGCATACCCACAAAATATCTGATACTTCAAAAAACAAAAACATGCTATAGCCTCATAAGGCTCATATAGATGACTCTCTCTCAGTCAAAGACGCTGGCGTGGCAAGTACCTCTTTCGCAAAGGTGGTTATTCGGAGAGTCCTCGGGTGAGAGGCCTGCCCCTACCGTTACAAAGTACAGCGCCTGTCTGAATTGTCGGCTTGTGTTTTAATTGCCTTTTTGAACTCAGGCCATTACAGACCTGCTGATATGAGATTTTTTTGCCTATTTGAAACTCGATTCTAGACTGAGATGTACTTGCTCCCTTTTTTTTGACTTTCTTTTGGGGAGACCTCTTCCACCGAAAGCTTAGCATTTCATTTTCTTTTCTTTGTGGGAAAATAAAGTTTTCCATCCTTTCGCACTCACCTTGGCAATCAAGTCCAGGCAAAGATGATGCTTGATGTCACGTCTCAGGTCTTCCGGCAGCTCTAGAAGCATCGTTTCTTCATTCACGCCTCGAGTTGTCGCCCACAAGTGTCGTTGATAATCACGTACACGCTGAATGAGAGAA